AGTTATGAATGTGCCAAATTTGATTAACAATGCAGACTAAATAATACTGCACAGGAGTAAAACATATGTTCTTCGGGTCAATTTGTCGCCTTGCATTTTATTATTTCACACTAGCTTTATCCTGACACATGCTATGAATCACAGCATAGCTATAATTTTTCCTTGCTGTTATTAGGCTCCTGGCTATTAAAATGATTAATCTGCTTGTTAATAATACAAATGAATTTTCTTATTCAAACCTATTCCCCAAACACTCGCCAGTTCACAGCACAAAAGGAATTAAGTAGTTTATGCAATAAGATTTAGGATTGTCGTTCTGCCAGGCGCTTGTACTGGTGTCTCCCATCTTGGCTGTGAATTTCAGCGTGTAGTATTCCTGAAAAACTTGCTGCTGAGAAGCAGTCAACCTGTTCCTGGTACAGTCATTTCTGACATGCAGTTATCCATTAAACAGTACATCTTTCACGAGGGGAGCGGGATGCTTGGGTGTTGTATCGGCAGTAAGTTTGCTGACGTAGGTGAACGAGTGAAAAGTTTCCCAATATTAGATCCGGTTGGAGACATCCAGAATTGCTCTGATTGCACATTTGATATTTTGTAACCAAAAGATTCTGCCACAGAGAGGGGGAATGGGGAGGAATCATTTGCCATGCTCTAAGGCTGCCAAACACTTGCCAGTCGAAGCTTGGATTGAGTTCTCCACATCTCCATGGTGTTTTCATTCTAGTTAGACCTTTGAGAAATTGTTGAATAATGGAATATTTTTTCTTCAAATTAAGTTCTTTTATCGTCACTAGCTATCTGAAGATTTTTCTCCTCTGCCTGGCTGAATCTTACTCAGGAGGTGGGCTTGAAGAGCTGCTAGAGCTCTGAATCTCAGAAAAATGTTGTCATTTCAGGAGCTGTGGCTTATGAAAAGAATATGGAAATATTAAAGTATGTCTCCAAGAAATAACACTGTAATTTGCAAAGGGATCTGTGTGAACTCTGAAGAAGCTGGAATACTTTTGTCAGCCCAGCTGAGAACTGCTGTGTTTATTAGCGCAAGCAGAAACGCCGTTCATTCACAAAGCTATATTGCTTCTCGTGTTTATCTCTTCACAGGGCTGAGCACTTTGTCAGGCAATTTAAAGATCATTTTTCAAGCTATGGAGTGTTTGCCCAAGGTATCAAGGCCAGAACAATGAGACTGGCCTTGACACTGGCTAGGCAAAATGTTTGTATTTCATGTGCAGTCTTTAATGTACATGATCTGATCCCAGCTGATTTCTTTTACGTACTGCTTGCCAGGGGCCTACTTGAAGAGACTTTTGTTAAGTGGTGTTCCACCCTACTTCCAATAGATTGAGTGCATTGCATTTACTGAACTACAAAGTTCTGTCATCACCCACAGGCACTGACACAAAATCATTGTGGGTGAGGCGTGGTCCTATTTATAACGGGTGGAAATCAGGTCATTGCCTCTCTTGTTTACTGATCTGTTTAAACTTTGGTTTCCATGAATACTCATGCTTGTGATTTTGAAATTTGCTTTTTGTTAGGAAATTTTGTGTATAAAAAGCAACGCCGTGATTGCCTGTAGGGGAAAAAAAAGCCTTAAACTCCGT